TAGGCAGATATATGGGCAGATATACAGATACGGATGGACGGGATGGGCAATCGGTTAGGCGACATATTGATTTCCTTGATAAATACTTAATAAAAATACACTCAAGTGCCGGCACTTGTCTCATCCCGACCGGAAACGAGAGGCCTATAGCTACACTTAAGAAAAAAAGTATGAGTATTAGTTTCAATCGACTGTCTAGAGTGGAATCGTTAACTAATTAAATAATTCCAATATAAATCATCTTTAGGTTTTTTCCATTTAAAACCATACATGAAATACTCAACAAAATGGTACCGAAAATTCTTCAGAACAAGAGGTACTTATATTAAACGCACTGACACTTTTAATAAGTTTCATAATATAAAGCCAAAGATTCATGTATAAAACAAAAAAAAAGCGAATTCTTTAAAATAAAATTTAGAATTTTAATATAGAAAATATTAATTTGATATTTAAAATATCTAGATTTTCTTGCTATGAATATTTCCTAATTCATATTAATAATATCAAGGTTTTTTCTGTGTATAACTCCAAGCGGATGGAATGAGTCTAATCGCATTGCAGAGAGGCCCATAAAGAGCTGACTTTTTGCGGGAGACTTTTGCGCATAAAGTTGTCCCGTCGCTTTAAAGGCGACATCTTTCGCCTTCGGGGGTTCGGTGGGGAATTATCCCAAGTCTATTTGCATTGCGCACAATAACATTTCTATAACTATTCGAGAGTAAACAGAGCCAGAGCCCGACGACTACAGCCAAATCCAGCACAATCCGCCCCCTGTGCCCGCATTATCGACAGCCACAACTATTTTTCTTCCAGCTGAACTTTTGCCTTCTTCTCGCCATTCCCCAGTTGCATCCTGCATCCTGAATCCTAGTTCTCTGCCCCTTGCTCCTTGCTCCGTGACATGCAGTGTGCTGTGCGATTAACCAGACATCAATGGCCAGGCCAAAACCGTAGTTGCACTGGGAAAATCCATTGGGTTTTAAATATATGTATTTTCTTTTTTTTTTAGTATAATGTAAAAAGATATGAGTTTTGTATCAAAATTTGCAGTAGGAGTTGATATATTATTTTTTTTATATTTTTAAAGAATTATTTTTATTTATTAGTATTTATTTAGTATTAATAGCTTAGAAAATATTATTTGAACTTAAGAGACATTTAAAAATATTTATTAAAAATTATAGTTTGGCCATATCAATGGTTAAAAATTGCCTTTTTTTTCAGTGTAGCTCAACTAGTAGCTGTGGCCGCCCATCCCATCCTGCATTCCCTGGAGCAGCTCGGCGCACCACAAAGTTGGAAATTAGTTTGTTTTTCTGTCAAGGTGCCGGTGGAGCTACTTGGATTTTTGGCTTTGTTGGCTTACATTGCCATGGCCAAAGACAAAGACAGAGGGACCGGAATGGAGCAGGATCAAGACCACAGGATGCAGTTTGCCCTGGCCGACAGGACGATGTTTCACATCTAATTAATTTGTACGCTTGCTATTTATTCTAATTCGAATTTAATTATTTTTCGTATCTTTTTAGAGCTTTAATTTAATTAAATTTAATATTTACCTTAAAGCATCTAAATACTTTAATACATTTTTTTAAAGAATGATTTAATTTTAGTTTGCCAATTCAATTATCTTTCTTCATGTTTCCCCTCTTTTTTAATTAATAACTTTGATTGAAAAATACCTATCCTTTGAGTTGTTAAATCTTAAATATATATAGCCTCCTTTAAATTAAACTCAATTGCAGAGAAAGGAGGTGAATGCTCCTGGGAACTGTGTTCCTCTGCTCACTGGCATGCAAATTAAGTTTTCCAATCCTCAATTGGACGCGTTTAAGTTGTCAGAGCCTCAGTCGCATTGTCAGGATATTCGATTCGATTCGATTCGATGTAGATGTACGGGGTCAAGGGTGAGAGAGCGATAAAAGCATAACACAAATCAAATATTCTCAATTGTCTCCCTGCCTTCTTGTTGTTGTTGCTTTTCCGTATCCTGCGAAAGGAAACAGTCCTTTTCGGACCGAGTTGAGGCACTTTGCACAATTTCGAGTCATTAAAAATGCAAACGGCTTATTGGCCAGACAGACTCGACTTTGACCAGTCCATCTCCTGGCCAACCCCCCTTTTCCGCCCTCTCGAGTGGGCGTGTCCTTTTCCACTCCCACAGGACGAAGGACCCAGCTGTTTGTGTGTGTGTGTGCTCTCAAAAGTTTGGGCAACTTTGCTGTTTTTCAAAAATATTGACACGCAAAGTTTGTGCAATCACCAAACAAATTACTTCATCAATTTTACAAAACAACAGAAATTTAAGATCTTTTAAAAGTTTTGTGCCAAGCCAGCAAATGCAAACGGTCCCAAAAACACGGAAGTGGATGTGCGGCCCCTTGAAAATCCCCACCACTTCCAAAAAATGACTAAGGGTTCTAGAAAATAATGGGGAATTAAGACAAATGTTATTGGGATTTAATGATATTTTTGTAAAAAGATAAGGGAGAACTGGTATAATTAAAGAAAGAGCTTTTTAACAGAATTATTTTCGTTATCATGGCAATAATCAATATTTTAGATTTAAGTAGGTACTTTAATTTTAATATTAATTTTAATATATTTTTTTTTAAACGAGTGAAATAATTTTTTATAATATGAAAGATTATTTATTTGTTTATCCTTAATAATAAACATTTTAGAGTTTGTTAGCTCAAAAACTTTACCTTTGTTTTATATTGTTATTAAATTATATTTAATTAAAATTCTCCTGCAGTGTATCTCCACTCGGACACGCACCAGAGTCCTGCGGATGCTCTCGACCGACTTTTTCGATGGGGCTGGGGAAAGGATCAGAGAGGCGCAACAAAAGCCTGGAACAGAAAAGTTTGCAACAAATTGCTTATGCTCCCAAAACATACACAAATACGGAAGGGGGCCCGAGAAATGGAGACTGGAGAATGGAGTCGAATGGAGCCAGGGACATGCGCTTGGAACTTGTTAATTTTGACCAGCTGTCCTGGCAGGAAACTGCCTTCTCCGAGTCCCAGTCTTTCCACATCCTTTTTAGCAAAAAATGCTACTTTTGCATAAACGCAATCGGAAGGATGGGGTAAATAGATGTACCTACAGATAGATAGATGTGCAGATATAGAGAGAAAGAACCCTCTCATGTGGTTTATGGCACAATGGAACTTCCTTTTTTGGCCACTCCACCATTAAAAGCGCATTCCTAATTTACGTTCCACTTCGTTTCCATCCCAAAACCGAAATAAAATAATGGGAATCCCCCTGAAAAGCTTTGTTTCGGGTTAGCCAGGAGCTTGTTTTCCAGACGGAGACAGTTTTGACAGTACATTTCGTAACTCGTAACATGCTCTGCATATTGAATCGGGTTTTTGGGGGGACAAGCAAGCAAGCGATACCCCCTTTCTGACCCTTCTTCTGCCCTTCTGTCCTGTTCTGTTTGTGTTTATGTTGTGTTGGTTCAAAGGGGTGAGGAGGGAGCTACAGGGGGAAAGGACATTTTGCGGAATTCGATTTTGACAAGTTGACTTCACTTATTTGCAAATTACTTGTGTACAGCCCTCGCACACCTACAGACAAACCGCACCGAGGTCTTGTAGGTTTATGGGGAATATGTCCTGTCATTAATTGCGTGATACTTGGGAGGAGACTCCCACTCAAGGGTAATTTCGGAACACAGAAACCAAAACAATATATTTTTAATTTTTTTTTTTAATATGTTTGCATAATATTAAAAAATATATGATTAGTAACAAGTAGATTGATAGAGCAAAATTTTTCATATCGGATCATTTCTTCAAAAGTTATGCGGAAATAAAATTTTATATCTCCATCTCCCTCGCACTCCCTATCGTTCTCTCTTGGTATATAACATAGCTGAATAATTGTATAAGAAAAAAAACGAACAATAAAAATTAAATTTGTCATGATTTCTTTTATTTTTTAAATAAAATATTATAACGTTACGAAGAAATTTAAATAATACCCCGTACTCGTTTAATAAAAAGGTAGGAATATTACATTGAATCCAACAAACCTAACGGGTCCAGACTAAATTAAGAAATAAAAGTTCATAAATCTATAATCAATATATATGTAGAGCTTTTCCCCATTTTAGACTAAAACTTTTTCAATATTTTTCATTGTTTTGTGAAGATTGTTTTTTGTTACTGCAATTAAAATTTTTTTAATAACATTTTATATACATTCTCTTGGGGTTACTTAAGCTAATTGTTTTAGCTGTGCCGTTCGCTGCTGTAGTCCAACATAGTAGTACATAATGAGCAGATCGCAAAGTTGCCGAATTTAGAAGCTGATACGATGCTGTGTGCTAGAAGTAAGCGATAAGAAGCACTGACCCGAAATAAAATATATCGTTCAGTCAATGTTTTGAAGTCGACATGAGCTGTCGGATCTTTTTGCTAATTACGGCGGTTGCCAATTGTTGGTCAACTGTTCAATTAAGTGGATATATTTATACTCTTACAAACGGAACCAATATTTATGATTTTACCTATAACGTACGCTGTGTCTTTAACGGATCCTCGCCAAAACCGTGGAATATTCAGCTCATGATGGAGAATCGAAAGTTGGAAACAGAGCTTATCGACGAGTTTACCATCAGCTACAGAATATGGATGATTCAGTTCCGGCAAAGAGAGTTGGAATTCCAGTGCATATGGCCGGATAATAGCACAACTAAAGCAGTGATCACGATGGCGACATTTCTTCCAGATGTATACTTTAAATGCTATTATAATGATATCATGACCGAACTAGAGTGCCAATTCGATTACTATGATGGAAACTGGAATATCAAAAGATTCCTTGTGACTATGGATAACTTGTTTAAAGTTGAGTGCATATCCAAGACATTTTGCCACATTCAATATCCAATTGATTTTCGGGGAATAAATCGAAATTTCACAATTGAACAACACTTGAATGGTATTTTACGGAAGCGTGTATTTTACCTCACTGACATTCAAATGAGAGTGCCGTATTGGCCAACTAATAAGCCCATAATTGAGCAATTGGGATCCGCGGCCTGCATAGATTTCGGCCCGCATGCATTTAAGAATAGTGACACCTACAAATGGAAAGTGTTCCTGGAGCCGCAAAATCCGCAGATCGAGAGAAAATATTACGACATAATTAGTTATGAACAAGCTAACTTCACAGAGCCGAAAGATGTATGCGTTGAAATTCCGGAATATTATTACCAGACCTATGCAGTTCACTTGTATGTCAAATTTAACCACGACGATGCAAAGTGGGTAACTGATACTTATGACCTAAACTTCACCTCAAACCCTGCCTTGCCACGAAACCCCATTTTTCTGCACGAGGGATTTCATTACGTTCCAGATAAAAGGGAGCTTGAAGTCTTCTGGGAGCCCCTGGATGAACTGGAATTTAACGGACCCAACTTTACGTACATCCTTGCCACAGATATAGATCCCACAGATGCCATAGAGTAAGCCTTGATACTTTAAGTTCGAAATCTTTGAATTTACTCTTTTACCTTTAGAAAGAAACCGGTCTATCAAAGCAACAGCTCAGCAGTCTACCAGGACTGGAACTATACTCAGTGGACCACCGTGTTTATTTGGAGCCAGAACGCCATGGGCCAGTCGTTAAAGTTCCATCTTATGACAGTGCCAATTCTTACCAACTATACGCAGCATCAAGCACAGAATATTCAGTACCACTTAGAAAACCATACCCTCACCTGGGAAGCACCACAGGAATACAAGGGCGGTTGTGTCTATAACATATACTCGTGTTCTACATCCACAAAATGCATTCAACTTGATGTTGATTATACAAGACATGAGAACACCTATTACAGTGACATACCTCAAGAAACCATAAATCTCGCTGTGGCTCTGGAGTGCTTAGATGGTTTTGGCGGGGGAATGAAGTTTGTCGATCCGTTGATCTTTCAAGAAACAGAGTTTAGTTATTTAAGCTTTGGAATAAGTTTATCTATTTCGATATTAATCATCTTGGTACTGGCTCCACTGATTTACGTCTTATTTCGAAAATGGAAACGAAAAATAGTTAAAGAAATCGTCATAACCCTGCCACCCATATTCGATCCCATTGCGATGGACCGATTACGACTACGAAATGTTAATTTTACATACAGCCATGATCCCCCAGCTGAAACCATCTCTTCGGTGAGGAGAATATTTTTGGGTTCCAATGAGACGAAGAAAATTGTAGGTCGGAATACTGCTCAGTTACCTAAAAGACCCGATTCTCCAGAAACCGTTTCCTTACCACATACTATAATGAGTGAAGCTCCGTCGACAAGAACTTCGGATCCTTCTGATCCCGTTTCATCACCGTATATTCAAATGAATACTTACTTGCCTAGGAGCCCCGGAAATCCTGATCTAGTCTCCTCACCATACATAATAATGAATGAATCACAGAATACAAGAAGTCTGGATCCTTCTCATAAAAACTTAATATATTCTTCGAAGATATAAAATACTATATAAAGACGTAAAAAATCATATATAGTTTTTTTTTGGAAATATAAATATTGAAATTTTCTCAAGTAATATACATTTCTTCCAGTGCACCTCCAATCGATGTCGCGCACGTGCTCATTGCCCTGTCCCAGAACGTTGTCAACTGGCTCGCCGATGTCCGTGACAAGTGGCTCATTGATTTTTAGCACTTTGGGCCCATCTCCTGCGGCACTTACTGGGTGCAAGGATCCGGGGAAAAGGGGGAGTGGGAAGTGGGAATGGGTGTGTGGAAGTGGGAATGGGGCATTCTGATGGGCAATTGACGGTCAAGCGAACGGGTAATACGTGTCGACCGTGTCGCTGTTTACGGCCATACACTCTGAATTATTCATGCAATTATGCGCGCTGTCCGCCGTCCATCGATTTCCATATGCTCGATGGTCGATGGTTGATGGGTGAGATGGAGGATCCTGCCTCCAATGCTTCCCTTGAGAATTGTGTCGTTCCGAGTTGCAAGTTCTGCAATTTCATGCATTTCTGAATAATGTCCACAGTTGGTGGAGGCAAACATTTGCCCAAAGTTTCGCCAGGCTCCTTGGCTGCCGCTGCCTTGCTGCATTGTTTTAGTTTTGAGCAAACCCCCGAGGCTTAAACATCGAGCAGCTGCGTCCTCCTGTGTGGGCCAACTTTCGTATGGCACTAATTAGTTGGGTCTCCGTGGGCAGCCCCCTTGATCCAGGTTGATGCACCCCAAAGCCACCTCCTTACAGGCAAACAACTGGGTTTTTTAGACGAGGCAACATATGGATGCCATATTTCTCATAAATTATACAAAGGCTTTTAAAACTTAAAACTTTTTTTCCATCACATATTTTATTAGTTATGGTTATTGTGAAATAGTTTATTATAAAACTTAAACAAGAAATTTCGTTTCAGTAGCTATTCCAGAAATCTATTTTGGTTTGAAATCTTTTTAAAAGGTGTTAAGAAAGTATGCAGTTAGTTTGGTTTAAAATCTCACGTTGCATACTTTTCGGTGCCTCTAAGAATATTTTTAAAAGTGTTTTTATGTTACACAAAAAAAAAGCTGACAAAAAGTATGCAGTGATTTTGGTTCAAAATATATCGTTGCATGGTTTTGGGTGCCTTTAATGGTTATTTCAAAACAATACAAAATATATAAAAATTGTTGTAGTTCTTTTGTAAAATGTTGTATTAAGCTTTAACTGAACAAAGACCCTTTTTTCTAAGTTAGAAGGAAAAGAAACCCCATCGCAGCTCCTGACAAAATGCACAATGGCGCAAATTGAGTTATCATTGGCACTGCACATGACCCCATCGACCTCCAACCTCTGATCCTTTAGTCATCTACTTAGCAAGCATGTCAGGCAACACATAATTCCATTGCACACATTTGAGCGATAACCTAATCCTTGACTGCAACTTGGGCTTAATCGCATTTGACTTTAAAGTTATGCAAAATTACAATAAAAATAAAGGGGTAGAAAGGAGAGGGAGCTTGGAACCCACCCGCAACTCGCTAATAGTTTCAATTAGGAAAGTTAATGAGTGCGGCTATGTGGAGCGTAAAGGACAAAGTTTCCGACGGCGCAACTTTGGGCCGAAATGGGGGAGGAATTCGCAAGGAGACAGGTTCGATCTAACTAGGCGTGAATTTTTACACAATAACTATTGGCAGACAGAGGGGTTCCGTAGGGGTTAATTTGCAGTAGTTTCCCTCTTTTTTATTTTCACATCCCGAGAAGTGCTTCCTGTCCCCTGTTCCTGCCACTTTTAATGACTGAAGTGTCAACGGGGCATCCTGGCACACACACACACACATGCTGGAGGACAGGACTCCACACATGGCCGACAAGTTTATTTAAATCTGAGACGTTAATTGCTGCTGAACATTTATCTTAATTAAGTCGACTCAGACTGCGACACGACTCCTGTTTAAGCAGCAGTTTGTGGCAGGCAACGGAGGGTCGAAGAGCGGAGGAGTTGGCGACCAGGAGTCGTCTACCTCGGAGCCAGCCAAGTTGAAAGGACGAACTAATGGCTAGACTTATGGCCCTGAAGTTAATTCCGCTTAGCAAAGTTACAAACTATTTCTATGGAATTAGGTCTAAATGTAATTTGAAAGCCTAGAAACGATGGTGTCACGGAAATCAGTAGTATTTTGAAATCACCTTTAAAGGTGTCTAAAAGTATGCAACAATTATAAATTATAAATCTGGAAGTGTGAAGGATTCGTTCCGAAAATTAATGGATTTTTTTTTGATTTTACGAAATAAATATTTTAAATTCAAAATGCAGTAATTTAAAAACTTTCAAATAATAATTATTAAAAAAATAGAAAATAAATTTTCCATTCAGAATTAAATTTTTCAAACAAATACTTTTGAAATAATTTAAAATATATAATATTCCAAGTTTTTAGGTCCTTCTAAAAACGTATTGTGTAAATTAATTCTTTTTAAGGGTCCCTTTCCATAATGAATTTACTGGGTAGCAATGCATCTGGAAATGTCAAATGAAACAATTATAAATCATTGCACAAAATCCGATTCGTTATCGCTGGAGGAGCCGTAAAAGCTTGTCAAATTTCCTGCAACTTTTTCTGCTGATGCTGTTGTTTGTGGCGAGCACAAAAATTATATAACTAATTTACAGAAATGCCACTTTGTTGCCAACAGCAGCGGACCAGCTCACAGGGCAGAAAAAAGTAGAAAAAAAAGTTTTCAATTACCACGCAACGGCAATTTCCGGTCGTAGTCCTGACGGCGGTTTCCCCCATTTCCCGACCCCCTCGCTGAACTTAACAGGTGGACGACAGTTTGGATAAACGAGCTCGTAAAAAACGCATTTAATGTGTTTTTGATGACATGTCAAGTTGGAACCCACCCAGCAACTAAGAGCGGCACCTGCGGCAGCAGCAAAGCAGCCAAAAGGAAGGGACATCCATTTTTTTACAGTTCAAATTTGTTTTGTTTCGTCCTTGGGCCTTCTCTTCTATCTGTGCACTTGGAAAATTTAAGAAGGAATTGTCTTTATTTAAGTATTTGAGAACAAATACTCTTGATTTTGAAATTTGAGAACGATTGCTCTTGATTTCAGTATTTGAGAGCAAATGTTCTTGATTTGATTATTTCTAACATGATAATGAAATATGGTGTAGTATTCACAATATTCATCCCAAGAATATTATTCCTGAATTCAGTAATCTCCCTTTTAATAAAAAAAATCATATATTTCTCTGAGTGCACCGTACCATTTGCCCACATAAGAGCCAGCATATTTGCGGCCGTATTGTGTCGGGGACACTGCAAATAACTTCCTTACCGTTAACAATGCTTGTTTGTTTGAGGCTGCAGACACACACACATGTGCGTGCATAACATGGCATAGCACTTAGGTGGGAGGAAAACACGTATACGTATTACGTATACGACTAGTTTTCCATTCTCAAGCGTAGACAACCAGAGTGGCCAGGGGCCAGAAAGCGAAACAGAAACAGAAACCAAAACACTGGCGACGGTGAGACGAAAACGAAAACGTAGAAGAAATCATCTCGAGAGTTTGGCGAAAATGTGAAAAATTCAAACCTCGAAGGGTCCTCTAAGTGCAGATTGTGCACGTGAGCTGAAATTTTAATGAGCAGGCTGTGATGGAGGCTGATAGAGGCATATCCTCGGACACGGACACAGGCACTTGGAGGGTGTAGGGTCGAGTTCGAGTCTGAGTCTGAGTCCTTCCCCCAGGATCTTTGTATGGTAAATAGTGGGGCTGTCGCTGTGTTGGTGGTGAATGCGTTCGTTAGACTGCTAAATATGTGGAAGGGTGACTCCTTTTTTACACACTTTATACGCACACGGAGAGAAAATATAAAATTTGTATCCAAATACTTTTTAGAGAGATAAGCTTAGCTAAGCTAGCTTTCATTCCATTATTTGCTCAAAACTTTTTAATATATGGTCAGAATTTAAAGGTTTTTTTTCAATTTTTTAATTTAAATGCTACAAAAAGAAAAATATTACATAAAGTATATTTTCCAGTGCATCGTTGTTAACCCTTGTGTGTGTATGAAAACCTGATGGCACTTTGTTAAGCATACGCAACGTGGGTAAGTGATTTTTAACTTATGCCAGTCGGTGTGGAAAGCATAAGTGTTGTTTTGCGGTCTCGAAAAGGCCACCCCTCCCCTTCTCAACTTATCCACACCTAGAACACCGAAGACCGAAAGTTTCATGGTCCCCATGATAGGATAAATTTATTTTGCAAATAAGAAAATAAAGAGGAGGGGCTGAAGACTAGAACAAGGTCGATTAGAGTCGGGGCAAGACGAAAAGTTTTGCTTTGCCTTTACGCTCAATAATAATGCCCACCTAATGCGGAGTGGGTTGAATGGCTGCCAAAAAACTGAAGCAAAGTTTCTTCAACCGGAAATTAATTGTCCTGACCGCAATTTCCAATGTCCTTAAAGACCAGTCAGCAAACTTCAAAGCAGAACAAAGCAGCCGAGCATCCAGGCAGCCAAACTAAAACAAAAGGCGGCCAAGAAAAATGGCCCAAAGAACAAGCAGGAGTACAAGGGTAATATGTTTGAGTTCTTAAAGCGAAAGTCGCAGTCCCAAAAACGAGCGAAAAATAAAAATTTCGACAAGCACGAGCAGATAAGCTTCCAGAGAAATGTCCCTATCTACTTGGCTCTTCTTTCTCCCATCTCCATCCCCTTTTCTCCCTTTTCTCGGCCGCCAGAAGACGATGTCGTCGGGGACAACAAAATGTGCTGCTAAGCATATTAACTCAAAAATGCACAAAAGCAAAACATAAAGTGGCCAAGACGTCCAGAACTCGTCCAGACAGCCACCGAGCCCCGAGATAAGATGGTATGATGGTATGGTAGATGGTATATATAATGTGGCCTCGACTGGAACATGTAAATGACTTCAGAGGGCGGAAGAGGAATAGCTTGTCGCTGTCACGCGGAAGCCAGAAGACGAGGAGAAAGGCGGAGAAAGTGTAGAAAGAAAGGTAGCGATGCAGAGATAAAAATGTATATTTTATTGCCATTTTAGCGAATTTTTATTACAGGACTTGTTTAATATTTTTATTTCCCAATAAATTATATTTTCTATAAATAAGTCGTCAAAATATTTATCTTAATTAGTTAATCATATTTAAATCATATTTACTTTACATT